CTGACCTCGGTGTAATAGAGTTTCCGTCGGCCTCTCTGTGGACCAGCCGTTTCTCCCAACAAATCTCTTTAGCTGCATGTTTCCACGCAGTCCCCTCACTGCGGGTCAGAGGTCAACGATGAAACTGTGAGTAAAACACGTTCCTCTCCTCCCTGGACTTTGGTCGTTCTCTGTCGTATCTCGGCGCACCGCGGAGTCGCCGACCTCCGTCTGCCTCATGCTGGGGTGAGTAACCAGGGCGTCCCGCTCTGATGTTTTACTTAGGCGATGCTTCACCTCCACAGCTTCCAGCAATGAAGGAGCTGCTGAACCAAAACCTGCAGGGAAACCATCAAGTCTGTAGGGAGAGAAAATCTGATCTGAAACACAAACTTTCTTTTATTATTCAGCCTTTTTTGAAGAAGTTTTAGTCTCCTGTGAAAACCAAATATCTAGAATTTAGTGACCTCCAGTGGTAAAGCTGCAGATTGCATAAAAGTTGCTTTTGATTTGTGTTTTCAATTATTCTGTAAAATTGCTATATTTTTTTACAGTCTGCTACTGAAAGATGATTTTAAATTATATTCAAAATGCTTTACAGGAGTACAACTGTATGAAGGATTCAAAATAAAACATAAAAATACTCAAAAAGTGAAGATTTAGACATTAAAAGCGATTTTAAACAGGTAAAGTTTAAAATGAGCCAAAATGAAGTTTATGTTTAATATGGGACCTGCTGCCATAGCGACAGTAAAGTTTTAAAAAATGGGCAGATCATGTCGTTGTATGTCAAACTTGGTTAATTTTTATCTCAAATGAAATTCAGAATTATAAATAATAGCTGGGTTTAATCTGAAACATAACTCCTGTCCAATGCAAAGCATTTCCACTTCTGTCATTCCTTCTGTTTTTGTGTTTCACGTAATTAGTTAATTGCAGCGTAAATCCAAAATTCTTCTTTTGTAATTATGTTTTTATGTGTTGAATGGGGAAAATGTATCCAAACCAACTTGTTCCTGGGTGAAAAATGGCTTTTTATGCCACATTTTCTGCACAACTGGCATCAATGTGCTGTGATAACTGGGAATTATCTTTTTATATCGTTGTGAAGTTTTTTTTACCTTCTGTTCTTCACAGAATTGTTTTAATTTTGCCTTATTGGTTAGTTTTCAACGTTAACAGTCTACTCAAAGTCATGAAATTTTTACTGTCATTTTTTATTTTCTGGATTCATTTGGATCATTGATCTGGTCAGAAACAGACTGTTATTTTATGCTAGAGAGTAAATTTCTGCAGCGTTAAAGCAATCTTTAAGCTCTGACAGTGCACGTCCAAAAATGGCTATTTTTATATCGTAGCCATTTTACTACATAAAATGTAAAATGGCAATAGGAGTTAAATCTAATCTCCCAGGAAAAAGTTTTAATGAAGAAAAAAATAGTGAGAGAGAAGGAGTTTTAAGAATGATTTCTGTGAAGTTTCTTTTCTTATTAAATCCTTCCTGTCATTTTCTCTCCTTTGTATTGTTGACTGATGAACTCTGACCTTAACAGACATCTTAGAAATCAGTTTTATTATGTGTCTAGTTTAGTTTTTCTCCATTTTTCCATTCAAACCAAATTATTTTTGACCCAAGCAATGTGTAAATATGAGAACTAATCCAACAAATACAAAGATAAAGAACTGAACATAAAAAAGTAAATAAATAAATGTTCAAAGCGCTTTATGTAAAGAAAAAATGAAAAATGAATGAGCCCCATGCAGCTCTGCACTGTCCTCTAGTTGATTGAATCATTTAATATTAAAGATGAGGAGAAAATCACCTCCAGCTTTTGTTTTTTATTGATTGGAGCAAAGTTGATGTCAAAGGATTTGAAACATTAATTATGTATTTCACGGCAGCGTGCGAAGACTCGGGGCATTCTGCAGAGTTATAAAATAATTTAATGCTTCAGAGACGCAAAAAGAAAACATTAAAAATTAAGTTTCACACCTTTCCTCATATCATTTATTGCCAGATATTCATAATTTGTTTTTGCTTACATACTTGCTGACTCTTCTAGTTTGCAACTGAGAAGGATAATTTAAAAAACTCTAAAAATATGTCTTCAGTTTTCATTGCACGTGCGAAATATTAACACATTTTCTACACCTCTAAAAACCATTTTCAGTAACTAATTATAATTGTACATTAAATATCTATTAATTTGTGCAACTTGTGAATTATTTCATGAATGTAATCATCATCATCATCATCATCATCCAATACAAATATAAATGGATTCTTTAATGTTGTATCCCCTTAAAAAGCAAATTTAAGAGATTAAAGCTTTTTTATCTTCATATATGTGCAAATTAAATTTTGAACATGTCAAAAATTTGCTTTCAGACTGATTGTTCTTTTTTAATTTGTTTTGTTTTGTCGTAAGGTTTCCACCAGAGAACTTTCTACTTTGGGCTACAGCGGGTTGTCCTCTTTAAAGTTGAAAACATCACTTGATAATAATAATAATAATAATGTGTTATTGACAGATTGGAAGATTGACACCTGAACGCAAACAATACATTTTTAAGAAATGCAAACATTTTAAAAAGATTTAAATAAATAAGCAGTGTTTAGCCTGGTGGCCCACCAGGCTTATAAAAGAGAGATTGTGCAGATTTGAATAGAAAATTGTTAATTTCCAGGAAAATAATGAACAACATGTAACTTTGATGAGATTTGATTTCTGTATTTGTTTTATAAGCCTGGTCGGCCACCAGGCTTTACTTTTGCCCCCGCCAGGCTTAGCATTGCTTATTTAAAAGTATTTAAAATGTTTGGGTTTTTAAAGACTTTATAGTTGGTGTTCAGGTATTAATCTTCCAATAACACCAAATTATCAAGTGATATTGTCAAATTTAAACATGTTTTTAACTTAAAAACACGACGAGCTGCTGGATCAATGACTGCTTTAGCGCCAACTTAGCAAGTTGTCAAAGAAGTAGATAAATGCATTTCACAAAATAATGCAAAATACACGACTTTGACTATTTCTAGCATTTGCATCAACCCAGCCAATGTTATGCGAACAAAACGTAAACAGCTGTCCAGGGACCAGGAAGGTTAAGCCTCTTATGTTTTAATAAGCTCATAATTAAAAGAGGCTGTAAATACTTTGCAGCATGGCAGCGTGTCGTTTGTTAAATGTGTCACCAAATCTCCTCTATAATTCTCAGAGAAAATCCAATCTGCCAGTTGAGGGCAGCTCAGGATTTGGGAGTGAAATCGGTGTTTGTGTCGCTGCGGGTTTCACGCTTTGTTTTAACGCTCTGACGCTTCGTTCGCTTTTAGAAACGATAAATTAATTTTTGTGTTCATCCGGGCGCGACGATGCTCCGATAATCGACCGTTTCTCCTCGTTAGGTCAGTCGGTTCGGCTGCAGTAAAGGTCAGCAGGATTAAAGGTTGTTGGTTCAATTCCACGTCTGCCATAAATAATTGTAATTCAAATGTAATTAGATGCGTTTGCCTTGGAAGAATTTAAATTTGCGCTACAAAAAATACATTATTTCTTTCTACCGTGCCTCCTATCCTCCTTTCCTTCCGAGTCTCCTATCTCCATTCTTTCCTTCATTTTTGCATCCTTCCTTCCTTCCCTCATGTTTATTCTTGTGTTTTTGTTTTCCCCACATTCTGTCCTTCCTCCCTAGCATCCTTTCTTTTTTCATTCCTTATTTGTATCCTTTCCATTCTCAGCTCTCGTTCGTTTCTTGTTTTTCTCATCCCTTGTCTCCTTGTTTCATTCCCTCCTCTCTTCCAGTCTTGCATAATTTTCTAATTCCTTCTTTCTCTCCTTTCCTCTTTCCTTGTATCCTATCTCCTTTTTTTATTTCCCTTGTTCCTTCCTTGTCTTCTTTCTTTCTTTTCATCATTGTGTTCTGTCCTTTTTTCCTTCCTTGCCACATTTCCTTTGCCTCTTTTGTTTCCTCCTCATTTCCTTCACCCCTTGTATCCTTCCCTCGTTCCGTTTCTTTTTCTATTCCTCCTTGTTTTCAATATTTAATTCATTCTGTAAATATGTTAATATTAAACATGTAAAATGTATTTCACTGCAGATTAACGATTTCCTCTGATTGTTTTTCTTCCCTCGTAATAAACCTCCTTCGGTTTCTTCTCTGGGGATCCGAGTTAGCAGGAATAAAATACATCCTCCCCATTAAACATGTGATGTTAAAACTCTCAGCTTTCCTGGCAGTAAATGTGTCCTTGTAAACACTTACAGCATCCATTTTATTGGAGCAATCATCATTAATACATTTTAACATCACACTGCAGCAGATTACGTTGTGGAGCTGCAGTCGTAGTTGTTGGACATTAATAATGAAAGTCGGCTCTGGATGTGGCTGATCCTCCGCTCCACGTTTCCCACAAAGCATCTGAGCTCAAATTGGCCTCCGCAGCTTCTTGTGCGTTCAGATTAGCCTGAGTCCTTCCAGGTTCACAGGAAGTGAAATTAGGGTCACTGAGCTGCTGTAAGGTCAGAAGAGTGGATGAAGAACGGCTCTCACTGCCCAACACTTCCCCTCTGTTAACTGTGTTGTTCTGTTATCAATAATTTAGTTATCGATAATAATTTAGTTATCGATAATTTAGTTATTGTTTTAGGAGTCTTTGACTCCTAAAACAATAAAACAATTACATTTTATAAAATGTAAGCGAGTTGCTTGTGTTTATATTTCTAAACAGAACCACTTAAAGTTAATATTTGTCCCATTTCTCTGTTATCTTTGTTTCTCTACCATCTGGCTCCAATTAAAGATGTCCATTATCGCCCTCTGCTGGATGGAGGCCAAACTGCAACTCTAAAAGAAGTTGACGTTTTTATTTTATTGATTGGAATCACAGATACATTTATTCGGCTACTTTTTATTTTTACTTGAGTAACAATATGTTGAAGTACTGCTGCTCTCCAGTGAATGTTTTGGATTAGAAATAATTTGAATTTAATCCTAATTCCATTAACATTTTGAGTTTTCAGGTGATGTTGTGAAGAAACTCGGCGGAGCGATGCAGGCGGAGAAATATGAGCCCCCAGCTTCCTGGCCCATCGGGTAAGAGAAACATTTCCCCGCAGTCTCGCGATTACTTTGCCGACCTTCCCCTCCCTGTTGCTGTTTGTCATGACCGCGTTAAAGTATTGCCCTGCAGCTGCGCGCCGGAATGCATCACACGGCGATTTTGTCAGGTCAGGAAATATGAGCCTGGCGCTTCGCAGCGTCAGCAGCACCTTAAACCGACGCCGCCGTGGCACAGCGAACAACGGCAGCTTGGTCCAAATCAAATTGTAGGATTTGCATAGAAATTGTTTGGAGATCAGGAGATGCTGCTGTTTCTCTGAGGCCCAATCACTTGAAGACAACGAGCGCTCCGAGAAGTCTGAGACAATCAGATCTGAGGCAGCGCTCTGTCCGTGTTTATGGAAAACACGCCAGAAACTCTCCCTCTGTTGGAACATGCGGTTACTCTGCCAGCTTCTAACACTGTAAAACGCGCTTCTCTAAGGTTTAAATTCAAACTACTGTCTTCAACTCAAAGGGAAACTAAAAGTGTGTTCACAAATTTGCTGCGGAAGGTGTTGCTGAGTAGCAATCAGTGTTGCAGCAACATTGGTGATATAAACCTATCCAAAAAAATGGCTGCTCTTTTTTCAACTCTGTTTTTTTCTCAATTTGAGGACCGACAATTACCTAAAAAGTTTAGGCAAGGATCAAGAGCGGAGTCTTAATTGAATTTGCTTTGGAGTCCAGTTTTGAAGAGAAACCTGATGAATGTCAGAGGTTTGGCACCAAAGTGCAGGCAGAGAGGCAACATAAATCAACAAGCTGTATTTGCAGAGGCCGCCTGGCGACAGCTCGCACAGCAGGCGTCATAATCTAATGCCAGGCTGTCTTGTTTGGCAAAAGAGCATCTTTCAGTCAAAGTCCCCAGTGAGAAAAGCCGCTCGCATACGTCGGCATGCAGGTAAACAGATGGGAAGTCTTCTCGTCGCTCCTTGAATGTCATGTGCATGATTGGGAATGTCAGCGCAGCTATTTAGCGCTGACGGCTTCAGAAAAGTACTCATCACCTTTACAGCGTGATGTACGAGCACGGAGCAGAAATTATCCCCGTGTCGGAGACGCCTGACAAATGTCTCTGAGGGAGGGGAATCAGCAGGCGGCAGCAACTCGACGGAGCATTATCTGCCAAGGACGGGTTGTTTCCTGCCGTTAGCTGCCGATGTAGAGCATTTGTTTTCCTGGATCTGATCCTGCTTAGACTTGATAATAGGTTATGTCGCACCTTTTTCTGGCTAACAGAAGCAGGCGCTCACAAAAAGAGCGTCTGCTTTTTTTTGTGGGAGAGACACGACGTTCTGATGAAACATGTCACATCTGCGTTGGCCAGTTGTTCTCCAGAAGATCTTGTCTCATATTTAATTGGAAGTGGCATGAGGTTTTTGATTTGTATTCATGAAGGAGACGTGCAGCTGCTCCTGGCAAGCTGTCGCTGTTCTTGTTGTTGATTCAAAGTTCATGCTAAGCGTGTGACCGGACAACAAGCGTGTCACACAGAAGAGAAAACAGCAGAGTTCATCAGCTCTAAGTATTCACTAATATTTAATTAAATCAGGACTTTATAAGTATTAAAACATAAAGTTGGGGAATATGTCCCAAGTAGAAAGAGACCTTTTAAGTTTTCAGGGCTGAAGGTTAAATATTGTGACTGCAGTCCATCATCTGTGAAGTGAACATTAAACCCACCTGAAACGCCTCCTTTGTGAAAATGCTGACATATCAGCTCAACCTGTAAATGTGCAGCGATTCTTGTTTCATGTTTATCTTGTAGTTTATTAGTTTTGTAATCCTGCATGACATGGAAGAGAAGCACAACTTTGTTCTCACTCCACACAAAAGACTCAACTTCCGCTAACCTGGAACAAATTGTTTGGCTTAGCACCTTTGCTGACTTGCATCATATTGTGCAAACGTAACTTTCTCTGAATTAGCATTTCTTGATTAACTTATTTAGCTTTGAAGTCTGTGTGGATGTTCTGGGTATCGACTGGTAACAGCTCTTTGGACAGTTAGCATTAGCATAAATAATGGAGTCAGCTTCCACTGTATCATCTTGGAGAAATGCATTAGCGTTAGCTCAGCCAATGTTTATCAGGGTTAGCGAAACTGTTTATGCTATTGCAATTAATGCTTCAATGTTCCCACAACTTATGGTTAGGATGAAACAATTAAACAATGAACTTTCAGTTCATTTAACTTTTCAGTGAGTCGTGTTTAATTGCTAACCTCGTGCCTTGCTCCATGATCAGCGCCAATCACAAGCCTGTTAGAATGTGGATGAAAACATTTCTAAAACTCATGCAGTCGCAGCCTGCAATGGTCAGATGAACACATACAGTGGAGTATGGCGGTGGCAGCATCAGAAAGAGGAAATTCATGTTTGGAGATGTTCTCCTGCAATCTGACTGAAGAATGAGGAAACGAGTTCTAGAGACGTTTAAAGCCAGTAGAGTCAAACTTTGCCATCTGTGAAGGTTGACGGTTTGAATAGTTTTTCATGTTCACTCAGTGTATCTCCTCTCACTGATTCCTGCATATGTGCTCAGGAATCAGTCAAGTAAAGCATTAAAGGGGGAAAAATATCCCAGGTTTTTGACTTCTCTCCATCATTTTAATTACCTTCAAATCAGGATTTATGTGACTGGGTAAAACCCTGCGGAGCTGCCACTTAAGTGTTTCTGGAGTGCATAATCCAGCTCATGTCTGACAGAAGACAAAAGCTCTGTCCTCGCACAGGCTCAATGTTCTCTCTTATTATTTATGCACCTGCCTTTTGGATTTCAGAAGGCTTTTACTGCGGGAAGAGAGTAAAAGCTGGACAGGTTTTCAGCTTTATTGGCCTATATAAAAGGAAGTGAGGAGCGGGGGGTGTTTTACAGTCACTAGAAATGGAGAATGCAAGTCGGGCTTTGTGTGGACCTTTAAATTTTACTGCGTACGAGGAGGAGTCTTTGGGTGAATCCCCTGCAGAATCCTCTGCAAACGAGCCGGCATCTATTGACATTAGAGACGACGACGCTCCCTCCGGCACCATTCGCCGTTTGTCTCCGTGACCCAGAACTTCCTCCTGACAAAGCGCTACCTCATTTCAATGCTAATGCGCCGTTATGGGTGTTTTCAAAGCGTTGCTGCTGTTTATAATGATTCGGCTGAGCTTCGAGGTGCCGGTTAATCCCGCAGATCCCCGAGGAGCCGGCGTGCACCTAGAGGTCACGCAGATAGTGTTGAAATAGAGTCCCGCGTTATCCCGACGGGACGAGCGCGCCGCCTGTTAACAGCTGACAGGTTCATGAATTTCCCTGCCAGGTTGGGATTAAGTAAACATGCAGCTGCTCTGATTGTTGTGCGTTGCTGACCTCTTGACCTCGAGGTGTACATCCAGATATCACCTTCTCTAGAAGGAAACAAAACCAATTATTTGCATTGCGCAGCGCTCTCTCTTGACAAAAGCTGCAGCATAATGTCCAATTTGTAAGTTGGACCCATGAGGATGTTTTTGATTTATAATAATCTTTTGGATTATTTGGGGGACCAATAAGGATTCTTAAAATGATGGCAGCGATGCCTTGAGTCCGGCAGCTTTTCTCCGCTCGAAGCTGCGCCCGGTGGCCGTTACTCGCAGTGAACGGCGGTGAAGTGCGCGGCGGGTGCATCTACGCAGGTGAGCGGACAAACTGAACACAGCTCTATGGAAAATAAATTTCATATCATCTCAGTCTCAACAAATGGGTGACAAAGTAAAGAATTTCAACCATTATTCTAATGTAATGTAGTTTGATTTTTCATGCTTAGGTTCATCTGCAGCATCTTATCTTCTCTTACTCTCCAGTTGTACTTTACACGTCTCTTTTATTTCACTACACAATGCGCCGCTGCAGTACAAAGACCAGACAGAAGCTCAGAGAAAAAGCCGCTGAATAGCTTCAGAAAACCTGGAGAGGTATCGATCAACTGTAATGTAGAATACAATAAAATCTGCTGCCATGAGAAGGAAAGTTGGGAGAGCTTTAAAAGTTGTGTAAAGTAAAAGAAAAACCACTCAGAGGAGTACAGCAGCCACACCAAAGTGCTGTCACAGTGACAGATTAATTTGCCACTAATTTCAACAACAAAACAAACGTTTATGTGTCTCGATTTTGTGTAGCCGTAGAAGAAATTCATTAATGTAAGCTGAAAGGTTGCTCACTTAAGAAAAAGTGATGTTTAGGAAATGAATAATGAGAGAAAATAGGTGTAGTTTAAATTGGCCCTTGTGTGGTCTCTGGTAAAAAGCCAAATTGATGATGCCTTTGCTTTTGAAACGCCTGATTGGTTAATTCACAACATCAGAATCAATTGGAGGGAGATGTCTTCCAATATTGAAGCACAAGTATAATAAACGTTATCAGAAGTTGTTATGAAGATGCAGCTGTAGTGAAATGGCCTTTCAGTGAGGAAGAAGTTCTTAAACCAAAATCAAAATACCAGATTACAGTTTATTGTCGTAGCTTGAATTGAAAAACATTTTCTCAGTCTTAGTGTTTTGGGAAGTTGTGGGGAAATAAAATAAATGCTTATAAAACTCACCAGAAGAGAAATCCAACATATTTGAACAAAGTGTCATATTTGAAGAGGTCAGTATTGTTAAAAAGTCTGAGTTTTTCTTGTAATAGAAACACACCTCGATTCTTTTATGCATGTTTGAGAAATGATTTAATCTCCATGGTAACCATTCAGCTTTCCAAAATGGCTGGGTGGATGTAGCTCCGCCTCTGAGATGCAGCTCCTCCCACACTCAGCTCCTTCAGACTAGCCAGCAGCTATTAGCAAACATTTGATGGATGTGCTTAGCTACTTCTCAGTCCAATGTTTGTAAAGACTCTTCAAGGGTAAATAACCATGTTGTGATGACTTCCTGAAGGCCGAGTTTGGAGTAAAATGGGATTTTTAAAGAGACAGAGGCCCAATTTCAAGGTGTTAAATCTCTAAATTCAATTATGTAAGTTTTATTTGAGATATATATCTTGATTTTTTCTAACTGATGCCTGTAAAAGATACTGCACCTTCAAAATGAGGAAATTAGAAAGAATAAATAATGGGAAATTTTAATCTCACTAATTTCAACAAGGAAAAAAAAGTGTATCTGGTTTTTTAGTATAAAGATGTTTTCAATCTGCTGAAGTGTTTAGTTCCATAATTAAAAGCAATCTGCTGTGACTGGTTTTCTCTCTGCTTTCATGTGTTTCTTTCAGTCAAGCAGTTGTTTGGGTTACAAATGCATCAGCGTTCATCTTGCCACTTAATTAGATGCTATAGATAAAAGTTTGTCTTTAGATTTTCAGCTGGTTTCAATATACACTGATGGTTTTCCATCAAAGTGGAGCCAATTCTCACTCATTGCATCTCAAGCACAAAATGTGGTTGCTGCTGCAAAAGTGTGAAGCTGCAGTCCCGCGTTATCCCGACGGGATGAGCGCTGAGGTCAAGGCTGCTCTGCTTGTGTCTGTTCTCCCAGAGACGGGAAGATTTCTCCTCTTTCTCCTCTTCCTCAGGCGTCGCTGGGACGAACGGTACGACGGACCGAAGCGAATTTCTGCACTGTCTTTCTCAGCAGATTGGATGGAGGAACTTGTTCAGGATCTTGTAGTTTGTCACGGTTTTCCTCCAAGATAATTCGGAGGAAACAGCTGTCTTCATTTGGAGAATCAGTTTTTCACTCCTAATTTTGGGTTGTTTTTAAATCAGAGAGAGCTGCAAATAATTGCATCCACAGGAAATTGAAGAGAAATGCAGGGAAAGTAAAAATCGGAGGCAAAAAACACCAAAAAAATCAGCTTCATTTTCTCTTCTGTCAATGGAGCAACAGCGACATCTGCTGTCCATATAAGAAACTGCATTAATAATCACTTAACTTTTCCTCAGTTTCTTCTATTATCATAGTAAAAATATTCTTAAAGTAAAACTCTATTAATAAGATTTTCTTCCGATTTTTTATACGGTGCATTGTTTCCAAATTAAATTACAGTGAAAACTAAACTTTAAGTTTAGTTTTCACTTCTAGGAAATTTATAGGATTTTAATGCAGTGGCAAGTATGCAAACCAACTGTAAAAAGCTTCAGGATGTTCTGCTTCATGAGGTTTTGTTGTGGAAATGACACCAGATCCTGTTTTTTCTATATTGCTGCTGCAACAAGCATAAAAACATGCTAGTATTGCTAAAATATCTGGGCATTGAGACAGCTAATTCCTAAATAGTTTCTGGTTTTTGCTCCAAATCAACCAAAGGAATGATTTGATGAGAGAAATAAAATTCTCTCAGCGGAATCAGCTCAATCAGACAATACATTGTAGTGGGTGAATGTTTCGAAGCTCAGTGGATCTCCTGTGTTCAGCAAGGTGAAGGATCCGGGATGCTGTGGATTTGATTTTGCTTCAGAGGTTTAGAGAACCTGGTCAGATATCATAATCTTAATGTGAAAAAATAATGGTCTTGGGTCTTTGAAGATACTGAAGAGGTAAAAAGTGACAATATTCCCTATGTTTTCATTAAAAATGTTTCAGTGTGAAAGTAATGCACAGTGAGAACAACTGCACTGGTGTAAGTGATTGAGGGTCTGACATTATTGGAAACGATCTGGCAGGAAAGGATTAGAATTTATCACAAGGTGTTTGTGCAAAAATGACCTAGGATTCTTTAGAAATGTTTGAAGAAAATGTCATTTAGTAAATAATCACGTCATAATAAGTTTTCTACAAAGTTCTCACTTTTAACCAACTGTTTATTAAAATCTGTATTTATTAAGCTAAAGTACAAAGTTAACACTTTAAAAGCAACTTTAAAGTGTTGCATTAATCACTTTTATTGTGTGGGATATTCAATAAATACTTGGATGAAATGTAAGTTATGAAAAGAATGAATTACGTATGAAATCACTGTTCCTGCAATGTTGCTGTAAGGATGGAGTGGCGACCTCGCACCACTAGGGGCGCCAGCGGCCGCGCTCCATGTTACCGTGGACAGTGCGCATGCTCACTGAGTGTTGTTGGAGTCAGCTGGTGGTTCTCAGTTCGGCTGAAACATCAATGGAAACGAAGCCACAACCGAGCGGATAGACGTCTTTCACAGAATCGACAGTAGGTGTCGCTGCTCTCGCTCTATAACTGCTAGTTGCGCCTAATTGATCGGAATGTGATCGATTCTCAGCGCTCGGATGGAGCCGGAGGACCAGGAGGAGGAGGAGGAGGCGGCCGCCATGCTGTGGTCCATCCAGGAGGCTGAGGAGAGGCAGACCCAGCAGATCGGAGCCTCGGCCTGCGGGGCCACGGCGGTGGTGGACGTCCTGAAGGCCCTCGGACTGGATGTGACCCCGGAAGAAGCGGAGCGCTGCGTCCAGACCCGCCTGAGGAGGATCGAGGCTCCGCTGCCAGACTACCTGCTCTCCCGCAGCGAAGCTGGTGAGCTTCCGCCATGTTGGTATTATGGGATGTTGCAGCGTCCAGAATAGTTTTAACGTGTGTCACAGAGAAAAACAATGTGCTGCTCTTTATTTCTAGTCACTGTTGGACGCATATAGGGGCGCTGGGCTGCAGGGGGCGCCAAAGTAAAGACAGAAAATCTGTTTCTTCATTTGTAAAAAAGTTCCTACAGTTCTTGTAATAGAGAAGAAGTCACAGATTCACTATAATATCTTCTTGTTCATCTCAATTCCAAGTGGATAAACGTAGAACCAAGATGGCCGCCCTGACGTCACACAACTAGTGAATGATGTGAAATAATGGGGATTTCCCATGAAGTGAATATTTAATAAAGGACTTGTGATGCCGTCAGTAACGGTGATGTTGACTCGGTCCAGGTGCGACTCACGCCCAGCTGATCCGAGGCGCCCGGGAGGCCAGCGGCGGGAAGGCCGTCGGCCGCTTCTTCCACCTTCATCCGCGGCGGAGCGTCAGGTTGGTTCCGTGGCTCGCACGCTGGATCAAGAAGGGCGCCGTTCCCGTGGCGACCATGAACATGCAGGTGGGCGTGGCCGACGGCGAGGAGGTTCCCGACGCCTGGCACCATCAGCTCATATTTGGAGCGGCACCCGGAGCCGTGTTCACGACCAACCCTTTGGATGTGGGTGCGTGAGACAGAATGTGTGGTTCCACCTGTCGGCTTCTCTTTGGTTCTTTAGCAGCTAATCGCACTCAGTCAACAAATGACAGTTCTGTTTCCATCCATGTCAAAAGTTTAAGCCTCAATTTGCATTTCTGTAGATTGAAGTGAGAATTATCTTGTTAAATGTTGGAGATGAAATCAGAGGAGTTTTTCTGTATCATGTCAAGAGGATCTTTTTCTCGTCTACTTTGGTTCTCTCCTTCAGTCGGTGAGGTCGAAGTTCACCAGCGACTCTGCAGCGACTCGGTGCTGCTGGTCCGTCGGGACGACGTTCTGCAGAGGTTGACGTCTGGCGGTCTGCTCTCTGACCTCTCCCAGATCCAGGGCGACCCGCGCTGGCGGCAGCTGGACGTGGAGGGTGAGGCGGCGACCTTCTGACGCCGACCTCTCAGCCTCCATGTTTGATTGTGGTTTTCTCTTTGTCCAGGTCAAGTGAGGCAGATGCTGTTGGAGGAAGAGCTGGAGGACGGGCCCAGGACGGCTCACGTCAGGATCCCCGCGGCGTACAGTTCAGGGGTCACGCTGTTTGGGCCGACGGGTTCAGACGTGGCTCAGCAGATCCTGCAGGCTCCTGAACTTCCTTTGCTGTGACGACAGAAAAGCCGAGCGGAGAAACTGTGGAACGGAGAGCAGCTCTGTGACGATTCTCCTCCAGTTGATTTCTTTCAGAAGCAATAAAAGCCTGAACTCTGTCCCAGATACGAGAAATAAAGAGTTTTTCATCTTGGCTTCATTTTCTGCTCTGATTCTTCCTCTGGATTTGCACAAATGTTTTGATGTTTCTTTCTTATGTTTTCCATGTAAGTTTGTTACAATAATAATAATAATGTTGTCGAATCAGAAAATCAGTTTAAACCTGAATGTTGGATGTGTAACTAAACTATAAAGTCAAATGTTAAATGCAGAAGGAATGAACTTTTGTCACGTTGTTGATTGTGATGCCAGAAAGTTGCAGTCAGTGAGGAACGATGAGTCAGCAGACATGAACAGGATGCAAAGAGTGGAGAACTCTCAGCATAAGGAGCATTTTGGAGGAAGGGGGAAGTTAGCAAACTGAAGGAGTCATAAGTCTGGAGCTTTTAGACGTTGAAATGAAAGTTTCCCAAATGTTTCCTGCAGCTTTTGTTTCAGGGACTCATGTTGACGTTCTGGATGCTGCAGCAGAAACGAAGAGGAAACAACTGGAGGAGAAACTGAGCTGTTCATCTAGAGAGAATCCAGAACCGCGTTCAGGATCAGCTGTTATTATAACAGATATTGATCTCTGTTTCATTGATTCTGGAAGGGAAGGAGAACCATGTTTATGAAAGATGAATCAAGAAGTGATGAGAGAAAAGCAGCAAATTCAGTGGAATGATTGATGGAAGTCAGTCAGTAAATCCCAGTGAGAGCAGAAATCCAGACTGGAGAGATTTTAGTGTCTTTTTCCAGAGGAGGAAAATCTAAAGAGTTAATCAATAAAGTGGGGCAGCAAAGGATGAGGCTCAGCACATGTTGGTGACGGAATAGTGAATATTTATGACATCAGTGCTGATCTGAACCACCAGGTGACGTTCAGTTGGACTCTTAACAAAAGATTAATCAATGTGATCGATGTGATTGATTGGATCAGATCAGAGGAAAGCCAGTTGCTGATCAGAGGCTCATTAGATGAAGCTGGGGTTCATCAGCGGTAATTGAAAGCAGCTGTGAGGAAAGGGATAAGAGCGAACCGGAGGAGCAACAGTTGTGATCCGGGCTCGGTCCGGTCCGGTTCGCTCCGGTCGGGTCCGGTTCGGTGGTGCCGGTGCTCCAGAGCGGTTCCTCTCAGGTGGGTTCTTTCAGATCTTTGTTTGACGGTCAGTTTCTCTAAATGTAAACTAACCTGTTTTGTTTGTTAATTGCAACCAGCAGGAGAGGAACTACGTCTCCCGTGATGCTTTGCGCTGTGGCTCCCAGAGGAAGTGGTGGAATCCCTAAAGTTTCCTCCCATCAGTCGGTGGAGCGAAGCGTTTGCACGTGTTGTTGCTGCAGTGGGTGAGTTGATGTCGCTGTGGCTCCACGCACTGTGGCTCCGTTCATCGCCTCACTTTCTCTCCCCGCAGTTTCCACGCAGGCTGAGTCCACGCAGGGACTGAGCATCGGGTCAGTGGGGCTGCGACTAGTTGCTGCTGCAGAGGAACAGAGGTGAGTCAGTCCAGGTCATTTGAACGAGTTTTTGTGCTGCAGTCGCTTCAAAGTGAGCAGGACTTTGGAAAGCAAAGCAGAACAAATGAAGAATGTTTAAAATGTTTTCCCAGCTCATCATTTGGACTTTTCCTCTCAGTGAAGAGTTGATTGTGGTTCTCTGGGCTCACATGAGCCCAGTGACTCCAATCAGCGGGAATCAAGCATGTGGCTCCAACACTGGAGCCTTTGTTGTCCTGCTCATCTTGATGCTGATTCAGCAGTAATCCAGATTCCAGCAGAAATCGATGCAGGTTGTGTTGAAAGTCTTGTTTTCCTTCCAGCTCTTTGTTTCCTGCTTTACGATTCAATCATCCCCTGGAAAAGGTCACGGCTCCTCCAGCTAAAGGTCAGCGCCTGCACAATGGCTTCACATGGTGATTGGAAATGCTCCTTTAAATCTAATGTGTTCTGGTTCCAGTAGCGATGGCCGAGCGGGTTCTGGTGGTAGGAGGCGGGGGACGGGAACACGCGCTGGCCTGGAAGCTGGCCCAGTCTGAGCGGGTCCAGCAGGTTCTGGTGGCTCCAGGCAACGCAGGAACCGCCAGCTGTGGCAAGATCAGCAACTCTGGTACCTGGGAGGGTTCTGGTTCTGCTACATTAACTGTGTTGTTTTCAGGTCCGTTCAGGTTTTGTTTGCGTTTCTCCAGAGGTGTCGATCAGCAACCACAGCATCCTGGCTCAGTTCTGCAAGGACCACCATGTGGGTCTGGTCGTGGTGGGTCCAGAGGCGCCGCTCGCAGCAGGTATCGTGGACGACCTGACGGCGGCGGGCATTCGGTGTTTTGGACCCACCGCTGCGGCGGCCCAGTTGGAGTCCAGCAAGAGTTTTGCCAAGGCGTTCATGGAGCGTCACGGCGTTCCCACGGCTCGCTACGGCTCCTTCAGCGAGCCGCAGGACGCCTGCAGCTTCATCCGCAGGTTCGCTCAGAGGCTCTGCGGTTCTTCAGAACCCAAATCTCAATGTTGGTTCTCAATCCATTTGCACTTTCTTGTCAGTGCCGACTTTCCAGCTCTGGTGGTGAAGGCGAGCGGCTTGGCGGCGGGGAAAGGAGTCATCGTCGCCGGGGATCAGGACGAGGCGTGTCGCGCCGTCATGGACATCATGAAGGTGGGAAAGGAGATTAAAGAAAAGAATTGTAAATGTGAGATCCAAAGAAGAAACGACTCGTCTGTTCTTGTAGAACGGAACCTTTGGGTCGGCAGGAACCACAGTGGTGGTGGAGGAGCTTCTGGAGGGACAGGAAGTGTCGGTGAGTCCAGAACTGAAATGTGTTTTAGCTTCCTGTGTTTTTGTCTCAGCAGAGCCTGAAGCTAACGATGTGTCAACTTTGCAGTGTTTGTGCTTCAGCGACGGTTCCTCCGTCTCTGTGATGCCGCCCGCTCAGGACCACAAGCGGCTCCAGGACGGAGACGCGGGGCCCCTGACGGGCGGGATGGGGGCCTACTGCCCCGCCCCGCAGGTCAGTGATGAGCTGCTGCAGCAGATCAGAGAGTCCATCCTGCAGAAGACGGTGGATGGGATGAGGCAGGAAGGACGACCTTATATGGGTAAAATGTAGCAGTGAGATGATGCAGCAGGTCAAGGGTCATGTAGGAGAATAAAGTGACTGGAAAGTGTTGCTGCTGCTGTTTCAGGTGTTTTGTATGCTGGCCTCATGCTGACCAATCAGGGCCCAAAGGTTCTGGAGTTCAACTGTCGCTTTGGGGACCCAGAGTGTCAGGTTCTGCTTCCTCTGCTGCAGAGCGACCTCTATGATGTCATCAGCAGCACCGTCAGCGGCGCCCTTTCCTCCAACGCCCCGGTGTGGCAGCAGGGCCGCTCTGCGGTTACCGTGGTGATGGCCAGTGCGGGTTACCCGGGTTCCTATGAGAAAGGTGTCGAGATCACAGGTGGGCCCGCTGCAGGGTTCTGGTTCCGATGCAGCGGGCCGAGGCGTTTCATGTCTCTTGTTGCTGCAGGTCTGACTCGGCTGCAGGAGGCCGGGCTGCACGTCTTCCACGCCGGCACCGCCCTGCGGGACGGACGGCTGGTGTCGAGCGGCGGCCGGGTTCTGGCCGTGACGGCGGTCGGGTCGAGCCTGGAGGTCGCTCTGCAGGCGGCCAATCAGGGTGTGGGCGACATTGGTTTCCCAGGCGCCGTGTACCGGCGAGACATCGGCCACCGGGTCCTTCAGAACCAACACGGGTCTGTTTCAGTGAAACAAAGAGTAAAGTGGATGTTTGTTTGTGTGTCGGTTTGACGTTTGTCTCCCGCTGCAGGTCTCTGACCTACAAGGACAGCGGCGTGGACATCGCTGCAGGGAACCGGCTGGTGGAGATGATCAAGCCTCTGGCCAGAGCCACGACCCGACCCGGTACCGCTCCGCCTCGCTCTGCTCAGTGATGCAGGGAGAGTTGAGCTTCCAGCTGGTCTGACATGTGGGTTTGGTGTCAGGTTCTGCTGCGGAGCTCGGAGGTTTTGCGGGTCTGTTTGACCTGAAGGCGGCTGGTTTTGTGGACCCGATCCTGGTTTCTGGCACCGATGGTGTTGGAACCAAATTAAAGGTGATTATTCTAGTAAAGTGTTAACTATTGTCCTTACAGCATCAGGTCTTTAATGTGCCGGTTTCGTTTCCCAGCTGGCCCAGGCCTGCGGCCGTCACGGCGCTCTGGGTCAGGACCTGGTGGCCATGTGTGTGAACGACGTTCTGGCTCACGGCGCCGAGCCGCTCTTCTTCCTGGACTATTTCTCCTGCGGCTCTCTGGACGTGGAAGTGGCTGGCTCTGTGGTTGGCGGTGTCGCCAAGGCGTGTGAGGCGGCCGGCTGCGCCCTGCTGGGTCAGAACCAACCAGAACCGATGCAGTTTGTTCTGTGAGCCCGGTGGACTTTGTGATGACTGGTTTTTATACATTTCTTTATTTTATATGTATTTTTGTGCAGGTGGTGAAACGGCAGAGATGCCCGGCGTTTACCCGGCTGGAGAGTACGACCTGGCCGGGTTCTGTGTTGGCGCCGTGGAGCGGGGTTCCTTGTTGCCACGGCTACAGGACATGGCGGAGGGAGACGTTCTGATTGGACTGGCTTCCTCTGGTCTCCACAGCAACGGCTTCAGCCTGGTCCGTAAGGTTGTGGAGCGAAGCGGGCTGGGTTTGAGCTCTCCTGCTCCGTTTGGGGAGCAGAACCAGAATCTGGGTCAGTTTTTAATAAAGTTTGGTCCAACTGAGCAGAACCTGTCCAGAGTGTCATTGAAAGGTTTGTGGTTCTGTCAGGCGAGGCGCTGCTCACCCCCACTAAGATCTACAGCCGCCTGCTGCTTCCTGTGCTGCGCAGCGGCGCCGTTAAAGCCTACGCTCACATCACCGGCGGCGGGCTTCTGGAGAACCTGCCCCGGGTTCTTGGCCCGGGTCTGGCAGCCGAGCTGGGTGAGAGGAAGGAAGGCAGACGGAGACTTATGGTGTTTGTAATAAAGTTTAGTGGTAGGAAGAACGTGTTGCTCAAGCGGTTTGTTTGCAGACGCCTCTCGGTGGAGGATCCGGCCGTTTTCTCTTGGCTCCATCAGGACGGCTCCGTCAGCGAGGAGGAGATGAGCAGAACCTTCAACTGTGGGCTCGGTGCTGTTCTGGTGGTTGGTCCAGCTCAAGCTCAGAAGGTTCTGTCTCAACTCCTTCTCCATGACGAGGCCTGGATGGTTGGCCGTCTGGTACCGAGGAAAGCAGGTCAGACAACAGAACCAGTATTGGAGATTTTTGGTGTGTGTTTGTGCAGCAGTAATGTTGTGGTTTTATTGCAGGTTCCCCCTCTGTTGTCATTTCCAACCTCAAGCAGAGCCTGATGGCGGCTGGTTCTGTGCAGGTCCATGTGGGCCCAGCACCCAACAAGACCAGAGTGGCTGTTCTGATCTCTGGGTCGGGTGGGTTGTGTTTAATGTCATGTGTTCTACTGAGGTTCTTTATTTATTGATGTTTCTGTGGTTCTCTCCTCAGGTACCAACCTGCAGGCCCTCATCACTCAGGCTAAAGCCTCCAGCAGCTCCTCTCACATTGTGCTGGTTGTGTCCAACAGGCCAGGAGTTCTGGGCCTCCAGAGAGCAGCCATGGCTGGAATCCAGACCAGGGTGGGTCAACATCTCTCCCTGTTAATGTGAAGCTTTACTTATGTATCTGTTCTATTCTCTTCAGGTTGTGGACCACAAGCTGTACTCCAGCAGAGCTGAGTTTGATGCCACCATTGATGGGCTACTGCAAGAGTTTCAAGTGCAACTGGTCTGCCTGGCTGGCTTCATGAGGATCCTCACTGCTCAGTTTGTCAAGAAATGGAATGGTAGGATTTCAATAAAGATTTTATTCAAACAGCAAACGACGCAGTACATTTTGTTCAGGTAAGGTCAGTTTGTGATGCAGCTCTTATTCCCACCGGTTTAAGAGGAAAGCAGTAGAATTATATATATACTAAGTGTTGAAGGTAGTTTTGAAGGAAGCAAGGAGGAGAGAGAGAGAAGGAAGGAAAGAAGGAGAGGAAAGGTTGGAAGAGTAAGAGAGTGAAGAAGGAAGGAAGTAAGAGTTAAAGTGGCAGACTAGATGAGGAGTTAGAATGTGGATCTCAAAGTACATTAGCTTCAATACTTTGAGATCCACATTCTAACTCCTCATCTAGTCTGCCACTTTAACTCTTACTTCCTTCCTTCTTCACTCTCTTACTCTTCCAACCTTTCCTCTCCTTCCTTGCCTGCTTCTTTCCTTCCCTTCTCTCCCTCTCCTCCTTGCTTCCTTCAAAACTACCTTCAACACTTAGTATATATATAATTCTACTGCTTTCCTCTCTTAAACCGAGTATATATATAATTCTACTGCTTTCCTCTCTTAAACCGGTGGGAATAAGGGGAATAAGGGGAATAAGGGGAATAAGGGGAATAAGGGGAATAAGGGGAATAAGGGGAATAAGGGGAATAAGGGGAATAAGGGGAATAAGGGGAATAAGGGGAATAAGGGGATAAAGGGGATAAGGGGATAAGGGGATAAGGGGATAAGGGGATAAAGGGGATAAGGGGATAAGGGGATAAGGGATAAGGGGATAAGGGGATAAGGGGATAAGGGGATAAGGGGATAAGGGGATAAGGTTCACCAACTCTTCCTGTGAAACCAGGGAAGCTGCTGAACATCCATCCTTCGCTGCTGCCATCGTTCAAAGGGGTCAAGGCCCAGAAACAGGCCCTGCAGGCCGGAGTGAAGGTCACTGGATGCACTGTCCACTTTGTAGCTGTAAGTCTGACCAACATGCAGGAAACCATCAAACTGTACAGCAGACACATGATGAAGAAATGATGAAGACTGTTGGCTTGTAGGAGGACGTGGACGCCGGCGCCATCATCGTGCAGCAGGCGGTGCCGGTGCTGCTCGGAGACACAGAGGACAGTCTGTCTGCGAGGATCCGGGAGGCCGAGCATCAGGCGTTCCCCCAGGCGCTGGAGCTGGTGGCCAGTGGAGCCGTCCAACTGGGACCAGAGGGAGAGGCGGTGTGGAGGACATAGAGTCTGACTGTCTGTAGTGTCTCACCTATTTGTTAGGAGGAAACATAGTTTACATTAAAGTGCATGAATGTCTGAACCGATACTGTGAATCACATCCATGACTCCGACCTCTCACTGTCTCCTCTGCTGCTTCCTGTGGAAACGCAGCACAGACAGCCTCTCGTTGCCGGCTCTGGTCGTCAGGCTGCTCTCTCCTTCCAGGTCAAAGTGACTCATTAACCTGATGATGTCATCTGTGGACAAACTGAAACCTAACTCTCCCATTCCCATAAACATCTCATGTCTGCATTGACTGACTGACTGACTGACCCGGCTGGTTCTCAGCAATGGTCACCAGGTAGAATAAACCTCTGGTGGACAGGAGCCCAGGGACCAGAGGGAGGAACCTGTCGGTGACCTCTCTGCCCCGCTGACCTCCGGCCCAGGACGCCTCGATCCCTCTGCTGCCCACCTGCATCGTTACAAAACACATTCAAACCCTGAGCCAGTGAATGGTGACGCCAGCCGGGTCCACAGGTCCAGACCTCCTCTGACGGAGTGACAACATAGGGCGGATTGAAGAGGAGGACATCCACCTGCCCACCGAGCCTCGGCAACAGACCCTGGACCTGGACAGGAGAGACATAGAGTGTCTGTGAGGACGCATGCAGCATCACATCTACATTAATCACTGCTGGTTCTAGTGACATGATGGTGACTGAGTGAGCGATCGGTACCAGGTCTGTGATGACGGGCTGCAGGGCGACCCGGTTACAGAAGGCGGTTCTGGCTGTGCAATGAGCGGCAGCCGGATTCACGTCAGTGCAGCTGCAAGAGAGAAACAAAACATGTTGGAGCACAAAAGCAACTGACTGAAGGTCATTGAGGTCAACATACAGAGTTACATATGAACATTAACCTCTGTTATTCAATGACACATCTCTCTACTTATGTAGGTGATCATTACTGAAGTATTTGAACTCAGTAAACAAAGCACAAACTGAAGTCTCGTTAATCACTGCTTTCACTCATAAAATGATGATTCGGCCTGAAGCTGAAGCAGCAACAGAGAGAGAAAAGCTGCAGCTTCACAGCCAAACTTGAATCACATCCATTGAGTCTCTGACTGACTGAGATGTAAAGGAATCATCTGCTGCACCTCCACTCATCACTACCAATGTTACTGTGAAGAAGCTCCACATTAAGAATCATTTATAATTACACATCAACTCCCTCATGGCTGCTGCAAAAGCACAAACATTCACATGACCCCTGACCTCCACTTCATGGCTGCAGAGACTGAAAATGATTGACTGGAATCATCATCATCATCATCATCATCAGTCTGTCCTGTGAACTGAACCTCTTGATTCTCAGAAAGAATCACAACAACAACATCATCTGCTGGTCGTTCCCACGGTTCCAGCCTCCACTGTCTCCCACCAGCATCACTGACACGATTCTTCAACACCTTCATGTTTGGGTTCACGCGGGATCCACTACAGAACCCTCCACTTCACTTCACTTCCCTCCACCTGCTCACTGTTTACATCATTTCCACACGTAAACAAATCCTCCACCATCCACCTTCAGGTCCTCGAGTTTCTGACACCACATCCACGGGATGACACGTCACGTCCAGCATCATGTCTGCGTGGAGCAACAGTGACTCACATGCACAGAGCTGCAGGTCCGATGACCGAGGCCAGAAAGGCGCTGACCGCTCCGGAGCCGCTGCCCACCTCCACGCACACGCAGGGGCTGCAAAGAGCGAGAAGGAGCCACAGTGACACGGGGATCAGGGACACAGACATCACGCACCGTGGGGAGCTGCAGCCCTGCCTCATCCGCTGCAGCGTCTCGGCGTCTTTCTGCAGCGCGTCCATCAGCAGGAACGAGTCCTCCGCGGCCTCGTAAACGTCCTGGAAGATTCCGCGTCCCGCGTGGGAGGAAAGCGGCGTGGGGAACCCGCTGCTGCTCATGTTAGCAACATGTTAATAACAGCACAAACAACCTGCACAGATCCCTTCACTCACTGCGCCTCCCACCAGAGACAGAGACAGAGAGAAACCATGTGCTGCTGTTGACGGGTTCCTCCGGCCGCAGCGCCACCTGCCCTGCAGGAGGAGACATTACAACCTGCAGCCTCCACTGAACTGAACTAACACAGAAAAGCAGCTGCTGCTCATCTTACTGAGAATAGTAGCAAAACATTCAACATCATTCTCTTTGTTTGAGAAAAAAACACAAGATGAATAAGTTGAGATTTTCACCATCATTTCTTCATATCTACATCCACATGTTGCTCTTCTAAACTTCTCAGTTAAATAACTCGTCCATTTCGGAGAGACTTTCCTCCTTGACAAAGTCCTTCTTCTCCACTTCCTTCCTAACCTTCTACATCCATACAGGCAACTCTTCCCCTGCTGCAGCCTGGATTGCAGAACATTGGGATACGCCTCTGACTGAACAACACGCTGTCACACGTTTGGTTTAAAGGCCTCGTCGTCGCTCTTCTTCTTCAAGCTTGGATGTTTCTGTCTTCATCGCATGCTGACGTTCCGCCGCCGGCGATGCAAACGCGTCGCGGCTTCGTGGAGCTGCTGAGCCTCTTCATCAGCCTGGACCTGACAGAACCGAGACGTCCTTCCTGCTGTCACACCCAGCATTCACATTTCCACATCACAAACACTAAACATCATCAAAACAAATCACCTTTTCGATATGAATCATTACTCCAACATTACATGCATTACTGACTTCATAAGAAAAGAAACAACCTATTTATGGAGAACAATCATTGAATAACTTCATTACTTTTTACAACAGTTGGATGCAGATCTTTCCTAAACATGGAACCAATAAAAAATAAACATGAGGTTAAACAACAGACACCTAGTGAAACATTTTACTCTTTTCAAACCTTATTCTCTTCCTCTGCTTGGATGCTGGAACTGCTGACATCACAGAATCCTGAAATACCTAACAAACCGGCACCTGGTGCCTCTGCAGCCACAACACAGTGGAAGAAGCAGAGCAGTGACCTAAAGCAGAGGATCCCACATGAACTCTTGACCTCCTGATTCTTCTAGTTTGTCGCTCATATGAAACTTTCTCATAAACATCCTCTCTGTGCTTTAGTGCAACATTTCACATTTTCTCTTTCCTGATTTCTTTACTTCTAAGAAACATGTGGGAAGAAACAGAAATACTTATATTGACTGTAGTTACTTTCAACTAAAATCAATTTTCACTGCTTTTGTGTTTGATTTTGAGGAAAAGCTCTGACAGAATGACTTCCTACTCCAACCCTGCTTTGTTCTCTCGCGGTGCTTCCATTAGGAGCATTTCTTTTTAGGTGAACATCAGCCGGAGGTTCAGGTTTCTCATATTCATCTCCTCACCTGAGTCCAGACTTTGTCAACAAAATCAAACATCAACCCACTTCCCATGCTGGACATTTTCATTTAACAGTAACAACAAAGAAAGTTACCTTTCTAATTAGTAACACAAGTGAAATCTAAATCCAACACACTGGAATAAAATAAATAAATAAGCTTTGCTTTAATCACACTTCTTTTTTATATCGAATGATAAGAAATCAGGGATGAGAGAGGAAGAGCAGGTTTCCAGCTTGCAGATGGATAACAATAGCTGAGAGGAGTCCTTGTTTAAAAGCATTAAAGTTTTAAAGGATGACATCTGAACATTTTGAGTCATTACATACAATTTAAAGTCACGGACTTACATTAATATTGTTGAGTTATAAAACCTAATTAACAAATAGGTTGTTGAACAACATAAACGTGTCAGAGAAAAAACATGAGAGAACATGAAGAACCCTGAAACATTAGCAAAGACATCAGGAGAAAAGGTCTGTAACAAAGTCCAGAGAAAGTCCAAACAAATTACCCAACAAAGCACAGGAACAGTGTTAGCCAATGAAAATGCACTGAAAGCAGGTAGAAACCCTTATAAGGGGAGAGCAAAAGACTAATCTTTGGTTGGATCCTCCAGGCAGCTTGGAGTCAAAACCGAGATGGACAAAGAACTGCAGCTGAAGAAGAGCCGGGGCCACAGAGCCCAACACTGTCCTGCACACGGGGACCGACCCGTCAGCAACATGTGGCTTCAAATCACACTTCTCTCATCGGCTGGGTTCAGACCCCAAAGACAAAGAGCCAAGTCCTGTGTGACCTCACCGTCCATGTAGACATGAGATCATGAGAGATCCCTGCCTTCATCAATCAACCTCCTGCTGCAACACCTTCATCATCATCAGACCAGTTCTGGGATTCCAAACACCAAACTCCGTCCGTCTCTCTAAAGGTTCCCTTTTTAGTTCTTACTATCAGCATCAGGGAAAGAGAGGCTAAATGATACATTTTACTTATTGGATTATTTCTGCTATTTCATTAAGCTGTAGTGACCCTTGCAACATTGCTTTACGAATAACATATTTAGCATAAAGAAAATCTAAAAGATGTTGTGAACATTCAATTAATGAGTCGCCTCAAAGTTCTTTGATGGTAGTAAAATAGCTGTGATGTTTGATTCTGGGGAAGAAAAATAGGTCATGTTTCATTGGTTGCTTTGGCCCAAATCTAAAACAACATCCTGGGGATTCGCCCAAGTCACTAACATCAACCTGATTCAGTAACAAGTGCAAGTTGTAAAAAAGAGAAGGAGCGACCGCTAACAGATGTTCTCTGTGAAACTAGTCAGTGAGTCTGACTGATTCACAGGGGGAAGAAGGAGGAGAGATCTGGATGGAGGTCAGAGAGGTCAGGCCAATCCTGTCTCTAAACCAGCTTAAGCAGAGTTTACTTCTGTTCTGGATTTGGTAAAAACCCAGCAGATTTAGGAAACTTCATTCACCCGTTAGATGGAGAGCTGGTAGCACATAACAGCAAAAAGTTTCTCGCTAACATTACATTTCTGAACTCGTCTTCAGACATTTATTGAGCCATAAAACCATCTCCAATACTTCACACTACACATGTACATTTGACAAACTGATTGAACTAAATACCTTCAAGCGTTTACAGTCACAGGAAACACTTCTCTTTCTTCCTTACAGGAAGTTATGAAGTTAATGAATGTAAAAAGATAAATATCAACATGTGACGTCGTTTCTAATGGGAAGTGAACAGAATAAGAAGTGAACCAAACAGAAAACATTCATCCCAGCATCTTACATCTCCTCTCCATCCAGACCAGGTTTTACCACCAACACAGAGAGAAGCTCTCATTGGATCAACCTGCAGATGATCCAGAGCCAAACCGCCTGGCAGCCAGAGCCGCCGCACGCTTTCTGCTGAACATCATCACCACAAACCCGTCCGCTCCTCATAGACTCCTCATCTTCTCTCTACAGACCATTGAAACAAGACATTTCTATTCATTCTGCACTTCAGAGAACTTATCCAGGTTCTTTTACATTCTATCTCTATGCATCATTTGAAAAGTTGAGCAAACCTGCATGAATCAATATTCCTACAATATTCCATCCAGCTATAAATGTCATGTATTGTTCATCACTCAGACTTCATGCACCGTCTCTAATGTTTGCCACCAGTTGGCTGCAGGTTTCGCTGAGGTAGGTCCACGTTTCTCTCACGTTCTTATTTATTGCTGCTGCAGAGTCATAAAAAGCCCAAAACGTTTTCACAGAGCCGGGCCACTTTTTAAAAACAGAGTTTACATGAAGTGAAACCAAAACATCAAACCGTCTCTAATGTTCGTTTCACTTCCAACACATAAATCTGAGCTTCCTGTCTGTCTCTGAACTTTACGAGTTTCCCGTCTGGACAGACGTGTTCAAACTGCCCTCACAGACTCCGGCGCCTCCGCGTTACGTTTCCCTGGACTCTGGAATGTTCTGCTCCGTTCTCGGGTCCCAGGAGTCGCTCGGTTCTGTTCGGTGTGCCGACTGTGGAAACATTGGATCTGTTGACCGGGATCGACGCCGTTTGAGCGCCCCCGACTGACGTTTCCGGCTCACCTCTCTGGCCGACTCCAGCAGAGCGGCCGCCTGGGCCCGACCCGTCTGCTGGACCAGCTTGTACAGGGCGCCGTCTGGGTTCTGCAGCAGAGTGAAGGGTCGGTCCAACTCCTGGATGCTGCCACCGTCCAGAACCTTGAGATAAAAGTTCCTATTATTCTACATTCACTGCTATGTTTAGGTGAGTTTTACCCAGAATACCCTGCAACACAGTCCACTTCCTGCTTTTGGAGAAGGTTCTGGTCCTGTTGGATTTCACTCATCGTTTCTAACTGCACAATCATTCACTTCAACTAAACTCAACATCAGATCCGGATCCAAACCTGAACCGGATCACAGATTAGCACCTAACCAAGGAACCGGAGCCGGACTCAAGTGGAGCAAACGGGCCAGGTGTGTAGAAACAGGAAACAGAGAGAAATGGACCAATCAGAAGTCTCACCAGGATGCGGTCGCTGTCTATGACGGTGTTGAGGCGATGAGCGATGGTGACGACCGTACAGTCCCTGAACTTGTCCCGGATGGTTTTCTGGATCAGCTCATCGGTCCTGCAACAACAAACACCTTTTACCCTCTGACCTCAGCTGTGTCTCTCTGTGTCTCTCCATGTCTCTGTGTCTCTCTGTGTCTCTCCATGTCTCTGTGTCTCTCCGTGTCTCTCTCTGTGTCTCTCTGTGTCTCTCTGTCTCTCTCTGTCTCTCCGTGTCTCTGTGTCTCTCCGTCTCTCTGTGTCTCTCCATGTCTCTCTGTGTCTCTCCGTCTCTCTCTGTGTCTCTCCGTCTCTCTGTGTCTCTCTGTCTCTCTATGTCTCTGTGTCTCTCCGTGTCTCTCCATGTCTCTCTGTCTCTCTGTGTCTCTGTGTCTCTCCGTGTCTCTCTCTGTGTCTCTCCGTCTCTCTCCGTGTCTCTCCGTGTCTCACCGGGGGTCCACGTTGGCCGTGGCCTCGTCGATGATGAGGATGCGGTTCCTCCTCAGGACGGCTCTGGCCAGACACACCAGCTGTCTCTGACCCACGCTGAAGTTGGAGCCGGACTCGGCGAGAACCGTCTCCAGCTTTCCCGGCAGATCCTCAGCGACAGACTTCAGCTGGACCTGAGGGAGACGGGAACGTCGCCGACGGTCCGAATGTGACACGGATACTGCGTCTGTCAACACTCGCCTCCTGCAGAGCTTCCCACAGCTCCTCGTCAGAGTGCCGGCCGAACGGATCCAGGTTCTTCCTCAGCGTGTCGGTAAACAGCACCGGGTCCTTCGGATCGGAGGGAAAACAGAACCGTGAATGATGACTCTGATCCGGAGGCGCACTAATGTGCAGCACAAGGTCCACATTTACTGATTCATGTCTTTGATTTGAGACGGATCTGGTCCACACGGTGTCCACACGGTGAGACATGGACTGACGGGACGGAGCTCAGAACTACAATCAGAGGAACTCGGCCTGAAACGTCACACTCAGGTAGATCCAAGAGTTACGGATCCAACATTTAAAGTCCAGAGTATCTAGAAACCGTCTTACATCATCAGAGGAACCTAAACATGAAGTTCTGGATCCATTTTAAGAAATAGGATCCAGATTTATTGTATGATTAACAATACATGAGGATCAGAGACATTTCTGATCTCCATTTAAACCTGATGAAGCTTCAAGAGAAACTCAACGTCTGTCTGGTGAATATTTGGTTACAAGATGTTTCAAATACAGACATTTTCATAGAAC